AACCCTCTGAACTCTGTTGCTGAGCCAGTTATCAGTCCATGTCACAATCCTATCATCTGTCCCACATTTCATGGGTTTTCCTATGAGGATCTTATGGGAGACAGTAGCGAAAGCCTTACTGAAGTCACGGGGTATTGCATCCACTGCTCTCCTTTCATCAACCCATTTCACTTCATCAACCCATTTGGTCACGTCCTTGTAGAAGGATATCGGATTAGTCAGACAAGATTTCCCCTTGGTAAATCCATGCTGGCCACTGCTGATAACCTTCCTTTCTTCCATTTGGTTAGAGATGGCCTTCAGGATGAGCCTCTCCATCATCCTCCCAGGGATGGAGGTGAGGCTGACTGGCCTGTAGTTGTCAGGGTCCTCCTTCTTACCTTTTGAAGACTGGAGTGACATTGGCTTTCTTGCAGTCCTCAGGCACCTTTCCCATTCTCCCTGATTTTTCAAAGATGATGGAGAGTCGTTCAGCCACAACATCAACCACTCTCAGCACATGTGGATGCACCCTGTCGGGGTCCATGGATTTGTGCGTTTTCAGTTTTTGTAATAGTTCTCTAACCAAATCCTCACTGACCAGTGGAGAATCATCCTCACTCTTGCTCCGTTACTTCCAGTGACTGGGATTCCTGAGGGCTGGCTTTAGGAGTAAAGACTAAGGCAAAGAAAGCATTCAGTAATTCTGCCATCCCTGCATCCTCTGTTATCATATCTCCTGCCTCATTTAGCAGTGGACCCGCTTCTCTTTCCATACTCTTCCATTTCTCATTGAAATCCTCATTGAAATTCTCATTGAAATTGAAAGTCTGCCATGTTCAAGAGTTTATTATCCTGTAAGATATTTACAGGATATTTAAAATGTTCTCATGGGTTATTCTGCGTAGCCATGTCACTCTTCCATTTCTCATTGAAATCCTCATTGAAATTCTCATTGAAATTGAAAGTCTGCCATGTTCAAGAGTTTATTATCCTGTAAGACGAAATTTAAAATGTTCTCATGGGTTATTCTGCGTAGCCATGTCTCCCTTTTCACAACCAGCATGTAATTGTCGTGGAAGCTCATAGCTGTGCCAGTCTTTTATAACTGTGAGAGACAGGAAGACATGCAGACACTCTAGTTTGTTTTTCAAATAGCTTTTGTCATGAACCTAGTATATTTATGCAGTGGAAGTTGTCGTTCTTTTGAAACTATTGCTGTTAAAGCAGGTTTTTTCCCCATCCCCATTAGAACACTTGGCATGCTTAAAACTCCCTTTTTAAACAAGTGTCACCAGAAGCACTTTAATCTGAGGTGTTAGCTCCTGCTATCCCAGTTGTCTTTGAGAGCAGGAGAAACTAGGTTAGTGCAATAACATACAGAGCGCTCTTGTCTGGTTAACTGTTGTACTGTAGATTCCTAGAAAGATGTGACTACTTGAAGTCGATTAGTTATCACTAATACATTGTGAAAAAAATACTTGAAAATAGGTCCTCTATTCTAATGTTCTGGTTTAACTTTCCAGAGAAAATGAACCTCTCCTAGCCTGCTCAAACTCTTGCGCAGAGTGATGGAGAGGTGATGAGACTCAAAAGGTGTTCTGATCTTTCTTAAAAACATATGAAGGGAAACAGTTTGCTTCACAGTCAGTTGTACTGTAGGACCATAATTTAACTAAACAACATGCTGCAATTTTTACTTCCTGGAGTTTTTCTTTGCAGCTTTCAAACATAGCGCGCAGCCAGTGAAACTTCCATGCTTGCATGACTTTCTCTGGTTTAATGTTGCAGTTCTGATTCACACCACTTGATGTCAGTGATATGCTCCTGACACAGAACGTTAAGATTCCAGGTTTTCAAATTTGACACGTCGTTTTTGCAGCTGTGACTTTTAGAAGCCTTACCTAAAACCTAAATTTGTGATTCTAGACACCTGCTATGCCAGTGTTTTCTGAAAGAGTTGTTTGTGGAAAAAAAACGAATTAAAAAATTCTTTCCTTCTTGTGAGTCAGTCTTCAACATTACCTTTGTTGCAAACAGTGTTAAAGGACAATACTTTAATCCTTGAATATGACTGTATATGTTTTTGCTAAGATTTTGAATGTAGCTTTTGTGATAAACTTTTATTGTTCACGCACGTAAAACTACATGGGTACTGCAGTCTTACTGTACATAGTGAAAGGCTACAATGTCACTAAATAGGAAAATATTACAGATTCTAAATGTTTGTGGTCTTAGGTTATTAAGAAATTATTTTTGTCTGTATATTGATGTTGTAGTTCTTGTAATATCTGTGCCTATCTAAAGATGTGTTTAGTTTTAGATCCTTAAGGGAAACTTACAGGGATGGAATAATTTTTTATTTTGCGCCTCCCACCCCCTGTTCTTCCAAGAATAAGTCAAGGAATTTTTGGGCCGTTAAATTTTGCCATTTCTGTATTCAGAGTGGTGCAAACAAGAAGTT